GTCTGTCTGTCTGTCTGTCTGTCTGTCTATCTATCTATCTATCTATCTATCTATCTGTCTATCTGTCTATCTGAATGTCTGTCTGTCTGTCTGTCTGTCTGTCTGTCTGTCTGTCTGTCTGTCTGTCTGTCTGTCTGTCTGTCTGTCTGTCTGTCTGTCTGTCTGTCTGTCTGTCTGTCTGTCTGTCTGTCTGTCTGTCTGTCTGTCTGTCTGTCTGTCTGTCTGTCTGTCTGTCTGTCTGTCTGTCTGTCTATCTATCTATCTATCTATCTATCTATCTATCTATCTATCTGTCTATCTGAATGTCTGTCTGTCTGTCTGTCTGTCTATCTGTCTATATAGTTATTGAAAAAGATAGATAGATATGTTCCTCTTTAAAAAAATGTGGATTTGGTAAATACTAACAAGACTGATCATTTTTATTTATTTATTTTTTGTGGACTGTCCCTTTAATTTGCTGTAGCAAAACTGCTTTTTTTAAATGCTGTTTCACACATTTTTGAAGCTTTGAAAATAAAAGTTAACCATCAGGTCAGCTTATTCTGTTTCCGAAAATATCTCTTTGTAAACTATATATATATATATATATATATATATATAAAAACACTATCCACTTACCAAAACCAATTATACATGAGAAACGGTAGCATCAAACAGACAAGCTTCTGCTTGTTTAGCAGCAGTGGCGTCTGAGTCATCTCCTCTGCTCAGGAAACTGTGAACATTCCAAGTCCAAGTGGGGATTTCTTACATTAACGTTTATATTAAGCACATCTATTATTCGAAGCCGTGTGAAGGTAGTCAGTAGAAAACAGGTTGGCCTCTAGTTTAATACATTTGCAAACGAAAGCTTTGTGTTCCCGAGGTTCCCTTTTTGAACATCTGGAGCCGGAGAAAGCGACAGGATCCAAGTGGTTTGTAATTGTAACGTGGCTGTTCTTCTCATTTTTTGTGCGCAGGGCGAAGCCAGCTAGCGAAACTGAGCGTGAAGATGTCCAGAAACTGCTGGCACTGTGGAAGAATTGGCAGGTGAGTGTACAGGAACAGGTTGTGAGGAACACACTTTGGCTGATTGGAGATCAGGCACTGAGCCCTGTCTGAAGATAGGATCTTATGTGGCATACACAAGCTGATGTAGGAACCATCTCATTGGAGAGGAAGACAGATGAGATCAAACAGGACTGAATTACAATTAGTCCATGTGTCTGGTGTTTATTAATTTCCCAGACAAACTTCTTTGTCTGGGAAATTAATACATGTCTTTAATTCCCAAGCTAATCATTATATATTATAGTTTAACCATCTGAAACATTTGCTACAGGATATTTTGATTTAAGACAACATTTTTGTACTCGATTCTGATTTTTGTTTTACCAGTCGTGTGCTGAAATCACCAAACATAGAAACTATAGACTGTAGTTTGCGAAGCTCCGCCGTTTTCACCAGCGTAATTTCAGACTGTAATCAGCAGTGAAATCGCTCGTATCATGTGGAATTGTTTTTGTGAAATATTTATGCAGATTTTCCGATGCAATAGTTTGTAGGGCTTGCAGAACAGAGCAAATCAAAAACACATGAAAAAAGGTTTGGTGAGTGAGTAAAATATTTTTCAAAACACACTCAACCAAACAGTTGAGATCTCCTTTAATGGTAACTGTCTGCATAAAATGTTGCATTCATGTTAAATATTTCCTTTGAAAATGAATATTATATTTTTTTCAAACATATGTTTTATGTTTCTTAAAAATATTTTGAAGACAATATACACTGCCATTTAACAGTTTGGGGTCAGGAAGAATTATTTTAAAGAAAAGTTTATTTTAAAGAAAGCTGGAAAGTCAGCTTTGCCAGCACAGGAATAAATTAATTTTGAAATATAATACAATTAAATATATTCATCAAAGAATCCTGAAAAAAATAAATAAATTAAGATTTCCACAAAAAAAGAAAAAAGAAAAGAAAAAACGCACACAGTGAAGACTGTGAATTCAGCTTTGCCATCACATGAATAAATTATATTTTTTATATATAATACATTAGAAAGCACTTATTTTAAACTGTAATAATATCTCACAGTATTACTGTTTTTGATTATATTTTGAATCAAATAAATGCAGCCTTGGTGAGCAAGATAATTCTTTAAAAACATGAATAAATCTATATACTGTATTGTTTTTGTGTGTGTGTGTGTGTGTGTGTGTGTTTTACATTTCTGCCACTGAAGAAGTGTTATTTCTCAGAAAATACCACATAATGGTTGACTGTTTTTTA